TACAAAGCTGGAGATAAAGAAGTAGTAATCACCGTGATAACCTGGATTCTGGTAGTCATAAACGTTTTACGTGCTATGTCTTGATATAAATACAATTAGGCAATGATATCAAAGGTTTGAGAGTGGAAACTTTCCGGCTTGAAACTGGATATGGTAAAAGCCTGAAATAAATATAAAATGCAATTCTTGTAGCAATGATACAAAATTACAAAATATTAATACAAAATTGCAGAATGTTGGTAGCACCGAACCGTTGTTGTGGACTGCTCTAGACATCAAATTGATGTGTGCAGATTGAAGTTAAAGACAGCAACTATAATGGTAGTACCAAATTACAAAGATAGTGAATGCATACTGCATACAGAACTCGCTGTTGCCTACAAATCAGCGTCGTCGATGGATAGATAGAGATTACAGTTACCAACAGAATACTGCAAAGTACATATTGTAGACTTCTGTTGTGTATATTGCAAATAAAAGGTCTAGATGCAATATGCAAATGGAATACTGCAGAGTATAGTTAAAAATAGTATAATCTAAACCATAGTTACACACACACTCACAAAAACAATACATTGCGTTGACGGGCATTACCGTTTTTTCTTAGAAACATGCAAGAAATTCTGAACAACATAAGTGTTTGGTTGGTCCCAGATTTTATCCGTTCCTCTTGTTGGTTCCCCTTGGAAAGGGGCAAACGTTTCGCCAAGATCTCATCTGGCATCTTCAATGCGTTGTCGTAGTCTCCTGTCGACAGAGAGTCTGCAATTAGAAATTAAAAATTCCCAAAATGTCAAAATTAACGATTTTCGATAATAAAGTTCACTATAACTCAAAAATTAAAGGTGATGGAGAAAAATATTTTACATATTAATTGTTTATAATGAACCAAAAGTACATAATCCATTACCAGATTCAACTTAGTTATTATCATTTTCCAATTAGAAAGTAAAAATCCCCAAAATGTCAAAATTAACGATTTTCGATAATAAAGTTGATCATAACTCAAAAATTAAAGGTGATGGAAAAAAATATTTTGTATATAAATTGTTTATAATGAACCAAAAGTACATAATCCATTACCAAATTCAACTTAGTTATTATCATTTTCCAATAAGAAAATTAAAATCCCCAAAATGTCAAAATTAACGATTTTCGATAATACAGTTGATCATAACTCAAAAATTAAAGTTGATGGAGAAATATATTTTGCATATAAATTGTTTATAATGAACCAAAAGTACATAATCCATAACCAGATTCAACTTAGTTATTATCATTTTCCAATTAGAAACTAAAAATCCCCAAAATGTCAAAATTAACGATTTTCGATAATAAAGTTGATCATAACTCAAAAATTAAAAGTGATGGAGGAAAATATTTTATATAGAAATTGTTTATAATGAACCAAAACTACATAATTCAATACCAAATTCAACTTAGTTATTATCATTTTCCAATTAGAAAGTAAAAGTCTCCAAAATGTTAAAATTAACGATTTTCAATAATAAAGTTGATCATAATTCAAAAATTAAAGGTGATGGAGAAAAATATTTTGTATATAAATTGTTTATAATGAACTACAACTACATAATCCATCACCAGATTCAACTTAGTTGTTATCGTATTCCAATTAGAAAGTAAAAATCCACAAAATGTCAAAATTAACGATTTTCGATAATAAAGTCATTATAACTCAAAAATTAAAGGTGATGGAGAAAAATATTTTGTATAGAAATTGTTTATAATGACCCAAAACTACATAATCCATTACCAAATTCAACTTAGTTATTATCATTTTCCAATTAGAAAATTAAAATCTCCAGAATGTCAAAATTAACGATTTTCGATAATAAAGTTGATCATAACTCAAAAATTAAAGGTGATGGAAAAAAATATTTTGTATATAAATTGTTTATAATGAACCAAAGTACATAATCCATTACCAAATTCAACTTAGTTATTATCATTTTCCAATTAGAAAATTAAAATCCCCAAAATGTCAAAATTAACGATTTTCGATAATAAAATTGATCATAACTCAAAAATTAAAGGTGATGGAGAAAAATATTTTGCTTAAAAATTGTTTATAATATACCAGAAACACAGAATCCATAACCAGATTCAACTTAGTTATTATCATTTTGCAATTAAAAAGTAAAAAGTAAAAATTAACGATTTTCGATAATATAGTTGATCATAACTCCAAAATTAAAGGTGATGAAGAAAAATATTTTGTATATAAATTATTTATAATTAACCAAAACTAAACCAGAGCAACACAAAGCTAAAATTGTACATATATCACATTTAGACTAGATAACATTGAGGTTACCACTAGAAAGTGATTAGACTGCAACCCCTCTAACCCTATTTTCTTTCTTTTTCAGGTTAACAGCAGCACGACACCACCAAAGCATACAGGATTCAAAACTTCACAGCAACACTCCATAAGTAAGTGTATAAGGTATTCCATAAAATTTGACTAGATTACATTGAAGAGGTTCGGACACCAAGGCGCCATCATCCCCCGACCACAGCACACATATCCGCCTCCTTTCCAACCCAACCCAACCCAACCCATCGTACAACACACACTCATTCAATAAATGGTTCAAAGTTTTCCTTTCCCCACAAACACACCTATCAGACTCTTCCAAACCCAACTGAAACAACTTCGCCTTTATAAATCCTTAGCCAGTCAGCACAAAACATAAACTCACACTCGGCTTGAACCACTGCTTCTGGACCTCTTTAACATTCTTAACAAAATTATACGTTACTCTACCCTTATCCGAAACATTACATCGGCCTTGCCAAACTTTTGCTGTCAATTCTTCCACACTTTTCTTCTCTTTCTTTTTCCATCAAGGCAATACCCCCGTTCTCACCTCAATCCCCTACTTTCACCCCTTCCGGACTAGAACCGCAAATACACACGAATAACAGCCAAATCCATCGGAAGCTTCCCAAACAATACTTTAACGCGTCGTTAGATCTGTCCTAATCATAGCCAGCAAGACCATTCGCTGGATCGCGATCAGTTTCCGACGGAAATGGCTGTTACACACTCTATGACCCTATACGTCACATCCATAAGACACCATCGCCATAAATAATCCTTCAGCATGCCCACCAACTTCATCAGCTTGCCCTCAGCGTATCGTAAATGCAGTTACTGAAATAGTTTTCTATTACCAGTATGTAGGCTTGTAGTCTGTCATAAGGTGTAAGTAGTCTTTTGCAAGTGAATTTATGCAATACATAGTCTTACAAGCATCATGTATTTTTTTATTAGCAGTTTCTAAGTCTTCTGCTAACGGTATCTAGTCTTCTGTAAGCAGTAAGTAATCTTACATAAGCAATACTTTGTCTACTGCTATCAAACGCAGTCTTCTATTAGCAGCTTCAAGTCTGCTGCCAACAGTATCTAGTTGTCTGCAAGCAGTAATAAGTCCTTCATCATCAGTGTCCGGTCTTCTGTCAGCATTTTCTAGTCTTCTGCAATATGAGTTGTGTTCGAGTTAGGTTTTGCCGACTATTAAGTAATTAATTAGTTACTTCTGCAAGATCGATAGCTGCAGACTTTTAGAATTTATATAGAATTCATATTGAAAGTGATGATTTTATATGGTTTTATATCTCTATTTATACAAAAATATCAATAAACGTTAAAAGAAATTTGTTGAGAAGTAATTTTAGTTTAATTTTGATTAAGTTTACGTGTCATAACTGTTGGAGTATTTACTGCAGTAGTCGTTTTCGACCATCCAGTAGAGATTAATTCTGAAATAAAAATTAAAATCTTTTATGTCCCACCAATCGTCTGCGCTTCTAATATGGTGTTGAGCGACTAAAAAACATCTCGCAGCGCTAACGAGTTTGTGGACGCCATCTTTCTTTCGTTTCTCATCTTCTCCATATACTTCACCGCAACCAGCCCATATAAACTCGCCCTTAAAACCCCCGAAGAGTTTTACTGTTTTATCTCGTTTCGATCGTGCACGTGTTTGAAAATTATTCGAAAATTCCGTTAGTCTGAAAATTTTCCGATTTGAAGTGGGATCTCGTTCGAAATTGGCAATTAAAAGTAAATTATTGAGTGTCGTTTTTCTGATTTTCTGAGTTCGAAGTGGTTTTTTTTTTTTTTGGTTCTCGCACGATGCGGAGCGAGAGAAACGAATAAAGCTAAAAAGAGCCGGCCCTAATTTGCCTTGTTAGAGATGACCGTCATGGAGCTACCGTTGAAATCGTAAAAATTCCACAAAAGTCTGTCGACGTTTCTGCGGGCTGTTAAAAAAACAACTAACATGAGGCAAAATAATATGATAAGTGCCGGACCGGGTCCCCGACGATTGCAAATTATTCCGGCGACCGTACACCAGTTTTTGCGAGACCGCGGTCCCCTTTGAGTCAACATGCATACATATCTACTAACATTTAAATAATTTATATGTGCGTGCGCGTTCGGGATTCGCTTTTTCAATTGGACCGCTAAAGACAATGAGATGTGTATTCAGGATCGGATTTAGCATCTTTAAATAAATCAATAATTAATTTAACATTCAATTTAAAATAAATTTAATAAACGTAACAGATTTTTTTTTTTGACAGGAATAAAATGTATATTAAAATTAATGATATCTCTTTGTTGATGAATTTAAATTGATTTTTGGACATGTAAATCCGGTTCTGTCAGAATGAGAAGACGAAAAGGCCATTGCGTCGAGTCTGCGAAGTCCTGACGGAAATGCACGTCCCAACTTAAGCATTCCATTGGAGACCAGACGAAGACGACGACCGTATGGATATGTGATGTATAAGCGTAGGAACGATTTATTTAGCGAGGGCAGACGCCGACAGGACCATTGAGAGAAGATCCAATCGGTCCCGCGCCTCAACTTGGACATGTCGGGGTGTTGTTGAAAGAATCAAAGTCGAAACGAAGTCGAAAAAGATTTTATTCATCTTCAATTACCAAAAAAAAACTTGTATAATGTTTATACTTATTTATTATTCTATTTATCTTAGTATATACATAGATATTTTCCGCTTGTAACTTCTAACAGTAAGCACTCTGGTGTATATCGGATAGATACAAGAAGATCCAAGAAGCGAACGGTCCCTGTCTATCTTCGGCGACATGAGACTGTCCGCAATTGTCATTTCTCATGGCTTGGACAGTATCGTGGGGACCGTCTATGTAAACGAACAAATTCACCGCATAATTTACCATAATCAATGCCCAGTTTCGATGCGGGTCGTCGGCGACCACAGTCGTTCGATCGGCTCTTACCATCTCGCGAATGTAGACCAATATAGGTAATGGTAATTAAACCATCTTGGTCTATACCAGTATACGGTACCAACATCACTTATAAAAGTGTTCGAGAAAACGCCTTTGTAGGAACTGTAACCATATACAAATCTAAAAGCAAGAAGAAACGTTTTAAATAATTTGATTAAAAATGTTTAAAATGTTTTGAGGTTTGCTACCTACCCTTTTAAAGTCAGCAAGTGCATGTGCTGACTCGCACACATGTGGAGGCTCGTGTAGGCGGCTCGCGAGAGAGAAAAGATGTAGCGCCAGATATGCTCCACATCGTGATCGAAGTAATTAATGATCCTGCCCTGCCATTCATCTTGCCCGTTGGTTGTGTTCCCCCAGTACAATACCGTGTCCTTATCATATCTTCCCGATCTTTCGTATATTTAAAGGAGCGACCGTGAAGCACTCCAATATAATTGCCCGCGAAAGCCACCATCATCGATATTCTTAGTAATATTTTTTGGATTTTTAAATTATCCAGTTTCTAAAATCAAAAAAGAAATTCTTGTTTTTATATTACGTATAAAATGATTATTTAGGTTACGACTTGTGGTTGACCACAAGAAAACATCAAGAACTTGCACAATTTTATGCCTTTGATATATTTCTGCTGTATGAACTTTTTTTTATGATATGATGAACATAGAACAATCGTTTCAAAAGAATTAGATATTTAGACTGGATTTGATTGGGTTTGTCAACCTGTCATAAACCTAACTCAACACAAAATGTTAATGATAAGATATTTGGATTGGATTTAAACATTATAAGAGATTGATCTCTGTGAACCAACCCCAGTTCCGGCCAAATATTTGAATTTTATTTAAATATTCACAACGTCTTGCTTATTCCTGGAATTTTTCTTTCGTCTGTATATAATTTTGTAGCTGTCCTTGCTTCAGGCTTCGTTCTATTTCCTGGTAAGTGTTTTAAATTTTGACTTCTTCTGTTCTTTTTTTGTTTCTGGCTTCATTTTATCTCCTAAAATGTTACTTCTCTTTTGCACTGATTTTAAGTTAACTAATTTTTGCTATCTTTTTTGTTATTCTAGCATCTTCTACATAATACTCTAGATTCTTTTATTTCAGCATCGTTACAGTGTCCTTACTCTGTTTATTACATTTCTGACTTCTGCAGTATTTTGACGTCATTATATAAACGTGTGATCAACTGCTATTAAATATCATTAGAGCTTTTTTGCAAATAACTACTTGTGTAGAGATACGCTCGACTTTTATTATATATCATTCGAAAGAGCAGAAAATTTCTTATAACATGTATGTGTTGCTTCACTTTCGTTGTATCATATAAAGAAGTTATTGCCCAAGTAACATTTAAAAGCTGGCAAATATGCCAGCAGCCAATATGTTGAAACACCAGCAGAATATGGGATGAGAGAAGATTTTTGCAAATAACTACTTGTGAAAAAGTGCAATCAACTTCTATCATATATCAGCAGAAATTTTTTTATAAGATGTATGTGTCGTTTCACTTTTGTCATATATAGGATATGACAAAAGTGAAAAAAAAGTTATTGTCCGAGTAATATTTAAAAACTGGTAAAGGTATAATTTTACCATAAACGGCTATTTTGGTGAAATACAACTTATACAAACGTGTGATCAACTTCCATTATATATCATTAGTGAGCTCAAACAATTGCTTATAAGATATTTATGCTACTTGAGTTTCTTCTTATGATAGAAAAATGATATTGTCCCTGAAACTGTTGAAATACCAGGAAAATATGGGATGATGGTAGTTTTTTTATTGGTAACTACTTGTGAAAAGGTACAAGCAACATCTATCATATATCACTAGAAAGAGCGTACATTTTTTTATATGATATATGTATTGCTTCACTTTCGTCATATCGTATAAAGAAGTTAATTCCCGAGTAATATTTAAAAACTAGTAAAGATACAATTTTAGCCGTTTTAGGTGAAATAAAACTTATACAAACGTGTGATCAACTTCCATTATATATCATTAGAGAGCTCAAACAATTGCTTATAAGATATGTATGCTGCTTGAGTTTCTTCTTATCATATAAAAATGGTATTGTCCCTGAAAATATTAAAACATATAATGACAAGATATTATGGCATGATTGGAGTTCTTTTGCATGTAACTCCTTGTGGAAACGTGTAATCAACTTCTATCATATATCAATGGAAAGAGCAGAAAATTGTTTATAAGATGTATGTGTTGCTTCACTTTTGTTGTATTATATAAAGAAGTTATTGCCCGAGTAATGTTTAAAAACTGATAAAGATACAATTTTAGCCGTTTTTGGTGAAATATAACTTATACAAATGTGTGATCAACTTCCATTATATATCATTAGAAAGCTCAAACAATTGGTTATAAGCTATGTATGCTGATTGAATTTCTTCTTATCATATAAAAATGGTATTGTCCCTGAAAATATTAAAACACAAGGATATTATGAAATGATGGGAGTTCTTTTGTATATAACTCCTTGTGGAAAGATGCAATCAACTTCTATCATATATCACTAGAAAGAGCAGAAGATTTTTTATAAGATGTATGTGTTGCTTCACTTTCGTCATATCGTATAAAGAAGTTATTGCCCAATAAAATTAAAGAGCTGGCAAAGATGCTATTTTCGGTAGTTTTTAGTGGAATATAACTACAAACGTGTAATCAACTTCAATTATATATCATTAGAAAGCTCAAGCAATTGCTGACAAGATCTCTATGCTGATTGAGTTTCTTTTTATCATATAAAAATGATATTATCTCTGAAAATGTTAAAACACCTGGAAAATATGGGATGATGATAGTTTTTTTGCAAGTAACTACTTGTGATAAGGCGCAATCAATTTTTATCATACATTAATAGAAAGAGCAGAACATTTTTGATAACATGTATGTGTTGCTTCACTTTCGTCATATCATATAAAGAAGTTATTGCTCGAGCAATATTTAAAAGCTGGTAAAAATATAATTTTAACCGTTTTTGGTGAAATATAACTTATACAAACGTGTGAGCAACTTCCATTATATATCATTAGTGAGCTCAAACAGCTGTTTATAATATATGTATGCTGCTTGACTTTCTTCTTATCATATAAAGATGATATTGTCATGGAAAGGATTAAAACACGAGGAGAATGTGGAATAATGGTTGATTTTTGCAAGTAATTACTTGTACAAAGGTACGATCGACTTCTATTATATATCATTAGAAAGAGCAAAAAATTTTTTATAAGGTGTAAGCGTTGCTTCACTTTCGTCATATCATATAATTCTTTGACTACGTTCTTTCTTCTCTATGTAACCTCTTCTGTCTTATTTCCAGCTTCTTTCAGGGTTTCTCATTTTGTTCAGCTTTCTTTCAGTTTAGTTTGCATTTTTTCCAAATCCTCGTTTGCATTTTTAACATCTTTCTGGCTATTTCGGTTTCAACGTTTCTAGCACTTTTCTTCCTTTTGATTTATTACTAATTTTTTGGTTATTTCTAAGTTGATTCGTTAAATTTTAACTTTTAAATTGAAGTTTTTGATTGTTTGGGTTTCTTCACCTCCTCCTACATCGCTGCCTCTCGCTACCTCTCTGTCACAACTTGAGCTTCACTAACGTCTTCGCCAACAAGTATCGTTGACAGTACTTTGAAGTACTGAAGAGCAATTATTGTTATTTGTTGGACTGATTATGGCTTAGGTTACAATCTGTATGCGGGCTATAGTCAGCTTGGTTTTTAAATCAATCATCAGAAGCATAAAGATAAGAAGAAAATATTGTTCCAGGAGGTAATGTCAAAATAAGTTTGTTGGGCATTGAATGAAATATGATTACTATATGCCATTATGAATTCTTCTTTGTCCACATCTCAAGTGTAAGAACAAGTTTGGCGTCTGGTATTACAAATTCATGTCTACTTTTTGCTCACTGTGTGCCTAGGTATGAGCCATTACTCACCATTAATGGATTGGTTGTGCAAGAACGGTTTTATTTTATGAAAAATCTAAATCATCCATTTCAAAACACCTCCGTATCTCTTCCCGAGGTTGCCTTTAGAACTAACCTCTAAATGCTAAATCTTAGACAAGCATTTATGTTAACATCACCTCTTCTATGTAACCTCTTTCAGTTTGGTTAGCATTTTTCCAAATCCTCATTTGCGTTATTAACATCTTTCTGGCTATTTTGTTTTTTTTTTTTCTTTTAATTTATTACTAATTTTTTGGTTATTTCTAAGTTGGTTCTTTCGGCTCCAAGTAGCTTCTTTTTGCTTGTTTTCATTTCGTTTCTTTTTATTCTTTTTAGCATCTCCTTTTCACTGTCTTTAAGTTTAGTGATTTTGCCTCTTTGTTCCAGATTGACCCCTGCAAAGAACATGATAATAGTGAATACATAAAGTCACAACAAACAAAACATTACTTTAAAAGCTTCTTATTAAGGCGTGCTTCTTATTCTATTCAGCATTATGTTTCATAAAAATGTGATTTGTGTTGTTTTGTGATTAAAAGTATAATAAATTAAAGTTTTAAGAATTAATAAATCTTGTCGACATGAAGATTGGGTCGCGAAGCGTCGGCGTCGTTTGAAAATGACGTCGACGTAATTGCTACTTTATTCGCGTAGTGGACGTTGGTAAAAATGAAATACGCCGGCCGTGCGCGGTAATTGGGCATTCTTTATTATTTATCCAGCATGGAGTCGCGGTCCCGAAAAAGAGATCACCGAGAGATAATTATTTCTGTACGAGAAATAAATAGCGAGCGCGCGCGTTCTTCGGGGCGCCGTNGGTTCTTTCTGCTCCAAGTAGCTTCTTTTTGCTTGTTTTCATTTCGTTTCTTTCTATTCTTTTTAGCATCTCCTTTTCACTGTCTTTAAGTTTAGTGATTTTGCCTCTTTGTTCCAGATTGACCCCTGCAAAGAACATGATAATAGTGAATACATAAAGTCACAACAAACAAAACATTACTTTAAAAGCTTCTTATTAAGGCGTGCTTCTTATTCTATTCAGCATTATGTTTCATAAAAATGTGATTTGTGTTGTTTTGTGATTAAAAGTATAATAAATTAAAGTTTTAAGAATTAATAAATCTTGTCGACATGAAGATTGGGTCGCGAAGCGTCGGCGTCGTTTGAAAATGACGTCGACGTAATTGCTACTTTATTCGCGTAGTGGACGTTGGTAAAAATGAAATACGCCGGCCGTGCGCGGTAATTGGGCATTCTTTATTATTTATCCAGCATGGAGTCGCGGTCCCGAAAAAGAGATCACCGAGAGATAATTATTTCTGTACGAGAAATAAATAGCGAGCGCGCGCGTTCTTCGGGGCGCCGTAAATAATCGAGGCTCACTGACCGACCTCCGATAATTAGCCGCATAATAACGACTTTCTCGACGGCACGAAGAAGTCTCTCTCTCGATCCTCTTGGGTCCGGGTCGGTGCAATACCGAATGAACCGTATAATTTAAATATAACGTCAATATTGGATTAATAACGAGTGCGGCGGCGATTTACATATAGATACTGATTATACGAGAGCCGTAAATATAGTATCGCGTTTTAATTACGGGGGACGCTCGGGTGGTCCACGAAGAAGACTTGACCACGATCCTTCCTTCTTCTTATTCCTTCGACCCACCGCCACACCATTCACGATCGAAGACTCCGGTTGCATTCTCTTTTGTCTTCTCCACCGGCATCTTCTTTTGTGTTTCGATCACCTTCTCTTGTTGCGTAACCGGAACGAGGTTAAAGATCTTTTAATTTTAATTTGTTTTGTTATACACATATCAATTTCTTTTCTAATAAAGTAATTAAACCGTTCAAAGCGGAAAGTGTTTATTAATATAAATCATTTTGCGAGGGGAAGTTTGCAAACTATAGTAATTCTGTACATCGCGGAAACAGCGTAAAGTATATTCGCATGACACGAGAAGGACTCTCAACTCTGTTATTTACATACACAGGTACAATTATCGGAACCGCGAATTCGCATAATTACACGGACAAATATCGGAGCGGTCGTAAATTAAATCGAATTATCTATGATTTATCGCGATCGGTAGTTGAGAATCCGTCGAGAGAACTCCGTTCGGCAACAAATAGATTCTATTATGGAGTTTTCGAGACGCTCGTCCCTAATAACACGTATTAAACGGTTGTGCACATAAATTTTAAGCGCAACACATTGTTACGCGCTCGACTACAACGGTTGGTTACCGGTAATCGTTAACTCTCTCAACTAACAAACGAACATTACGACGGAGATAAACGTTTTACAGGTGTACGTTAACATCTAATTAGTAATAAGTACAATTTCAAATAATATATTTTATCAAATCATTTATGAATTATTTTATTTTTGTTTGTTATTAACAAATTCCTAACAAGTTATCAAGCAAACTATAAATTGTTGTGTTACACATTATATGCACTTTATCTTCCAATTCATAGATACTAACTGCTCTCAACAACTTGACTTTATACTACATAGTTTAGGCACAGTAAAAGTTTTCGCAATTTATAAACGCAATTAAAAGATTCGTTCTACTTTGAAATTTGATTCGAAGTTGAAATGTCTACTGTAGCCTGAAGAATACAGGCAAAGTCGCTAATCCTTAATGGACATCTATGTAAAGATGCTACCTAGAAATTTGAGAAGTGGATGTTGTTACCCAAGATACAATCTATAAGATATTCTTTGTCTTATCGTAGCAAATTATGTGGTACCTATATTCCGGCTTAAATCCGAAAAGTCTCAACATACAAGTCTTAAATTCTTAAAGGACTCCGATTTAGCACATATTACGTTTATCCACAGTTGTTCAGAGAAGTCGATATCTATTTTAGTAACCACAAGAAAGCTTATCATTTGCATAAACCGCCTCACCAGCTCCTTCTTTTCTTTTTTTAGAGTGTATAGCTAGTCACCACAACCTCTCTCACTCCAACAATCGGGTTCCACCTTTATTGAAGTCATCCATATGCTGAGGAGAATGTCCAAACATATTTTAGCGTTAACAAGTCTTCCATTATATATCATTAGAGAGCTCAAATAATTGCTTATAGGATATGTATGCCGCTTGAGTTTCTTCTTATCATATAAAAATGGTATTGTCCTGGAAAAAGTTAAAACACGAGGAGAATTTAGAATGATGGTTGATTTTTACAAGTAACTGCTTCTACAAATGTACGATCGGCTTCTATTATATATCATTAGAAAGAGCAGAAAATTTTGTATAAGTTGTATGTGCTGCTTCACTTTCGCCATATCATATAAAGAAGTTAATACGCGAGTAATATTTAAAAACTTATACAAACGTGTGATCAATTTCCATTATATATCATTAGAGAGCTGAAACAATTGCTTATAGGATATGTATGCTGCTAAAGTTCTTCTTATCATATAAAAATGGTATTGTCCTGGAAAAAGTTAAAACACGAGGAGAATTTGGAATGATGGTTGATTTTTTCAAGTAACTGCTTGTACAAAGGTACGATCCACTTCTATTATATATCATTAGGAAGAGCAGAAAATTTTGTATAAGATGTGTGTGCTGCTTCACTTGCGTCATATCATATAAAGAAGTTAATGCCCGGGTAATATTTAAAAACTGGTAAAGATACAATTTTAGCCGTTTTTGGTAAAATATAACTTATACAAACGTGTGATCAACTTCCATTATATATCATTAGAGAGCTGAAATAATTTCTTATAAGATATGTATGCTGCTTGAGTTTCTTCTTATCATATAAAGATGGTATTGTCCTGGAAAGTGTTGAAACGCGAAGAGAATTTTGGAAGGATCGTTGATTTTTGTAAGTAACTGCTGGTACAAAGGTACGATCGACTTCTTATTATATATCATTAGAAAGAGCAGAAAATTTCTTATAAGGTGTATGTGTTGCTTAACTTTTGTCATATCATATAAAGGAGTTCATGCCCGAGAAATATTTAAAAACTGGTAAAGATACAATTTTAACCGTGTTTGATGACATATAACTTATACAAACGTGTGATCAACTTCCATTATATATCATTAGAAAGCTGAAACAATTGCTTATAGGATATGTATGCTGCTTGAGTTTGTTCTTATCATATAAAGATGATATTATCCTGGAAAGAGTTAAAACACGATGAGAATTTGGAATGATGGTTGATTTTTGCAAGTAACTGCTTCTAGAAAGGCACGATGGACTCCTATTATATATCATTAGAGAGAGCAGAAAATTTCTTATTAGGTATATAGGTTGCTTCACTTTCGTCATATCATATAAAGAAGTTAATGCCCGAGTAATATTTAAAAACTGGTAAATATACAATTTTAGCCGTGTTTGATAACATATAACTTATACAAACGTGTGATCAACTTCCATTATATATCATTAGAGAGCTGAAACAATTGCTTATAGGATATGTATGCTGCTTGAATTTCTTCTTATCATATAAAGATGGTATTGTTCTGGAATGTTTTAAAACACGAGGAGAATTTGAGTTGATGGTTGAATTTTTCAAGTAACTGCTTGTACAAAGGTACGATCCACTTCTATTATATATCATTAGAAAGAGCAGAAAATTTCTTATAAGGTGTATGTGCTGCTTCACTTTCGTCATATCATATAAAGAAGTTAATGCCCGAGTAATATTTAAAAACTGGTAAAGATACAATTTTAGCCGTTTTTGGTGATATATAACTTATACAAAAGTGTGATCAGCTTCCATTATATATCATTAGAGAGCTCAAACAATTGCTTATAAGATATGTATGCTGCTTGAGTTTCTTCTTGTCATATAAAAATGGTATTGTCCCTGAAAATATTAAAACACAAAGATATTATGGCATGATTGGAGTTCTTTTGCATGTAACTCCTTGTGGAAAGGTGCAATTAACTTCTATCATATATCAATAGAAAGAGTAGAAAATTTTGTATAAGATGTATGTATTGCTTCACTTTCGTCATATCATATAAAGAAGTTAATGCCCGAGTAATATTTAAAAACTGGTAAACATACAATTTTAGCCGTTTTTGGTGAAATATAACTTATACAAACGTGTGATCAGCTTCTATTATATATCATTAGAGAGCTCAAACAATTCCTTATAAGATATGTATGCTGCTTGAGTTTCTTCTTATCACATAAAGACGGTATTGTCCTGGAAAGAGTTAAAACACGAAGAGAATTTGGAATGATGGTTGATTTTTGCAACTAACTGCTTGTACAACGATCGACTTTTATCATATATCATTAGAAAGAGCAGAAAATTTCTTATAAGGTGTAAATGTTGCTTCACTTTCGTCAAATCACATAAAGAAGTTATTGTCCGTTTTTCCCACAAGGAAGCTTATCACTTGCATAAACGGTCACACTAGCTCCATCTTTTCTCAGAGTCAATACTTAGTCACTACAACCTCTCTTAGTCCAAAGTAATAGGCAGCAATCGGATTGCACCTTCATTGAAGTCATCCACATGCTCAGGAAAAATATCTAAACATATTCTAGCGTTAACTCGTTCAACAAAACCCATGTAATTAAAGCAATCAGAAAATAACTTATCTTAATTATTTACAACTATAAGCTGTGTTCTCGTAAGAAGATAACAATTCGAGAAAATTCAACATTCTCCTACATCCGTGCCTCTCGCTATCTCTCTGCCACAACCACTATGTTCAACTTGGGCGTCACTAAGGCCCATGGCAACAAGTATCATTACAAAGTACTAAGCAATAAGTTCAGGGTTGTCAGCATCAATAATGTCCCATCCAGATGTCGCTAGGCTGTATTTTTGACCTAAGCTTGTACTTTGTATATATTGTTGTTTATTTAATTGATTATGACTTAGATTATAATCTGTATGCGGGCGACAATCTGCTGGTTTCTAAATTAGTCATCAGGAGCATAAAGGCAAGAAG